GAAAGGGAGGCAGAAACGAAGAAAGGCTGGCGAGACGAGGAAGGTGGCGAGGCAGCGCGAGCAGTCGAGGGGACAGCGGTGCGGCGTCGAAGGTGGAAGAGGAGGAAGAGACGGACCGGGGCGAGGGTGGTTGCGCGCGGGGGGGAGGCGAGGGAAAAGGACATTAAGGTGCGTAATAGCCAGCGGGGCGAGCGCGCACCGCCGCGGCATCGATTAGACAGAGGCTCCCTCGTCCCATTGCTAGGATGCAGCCCTCCTCTCCTCCTCGACCCACCGACATACTCACCCTCCGCGCTATATCCACCCGTCCACCACCCACCACCCACAACCCATACTCTCTCGACCGAGAGGTCCCCACGACCACCCTTCCACCCGCCCCCGCCTACTCCGTCGAACTGGAGAGCCCCCGAGTACGTGCTCTACATACACACTCGTGCGCTTATGTCAGTTCCTGTCCTGCCGTTGCCTCTGCCTCTGCCTCTGCCTCTGCCTACCTACCTACCTACCTACCTACCTCTGCTGCTGCTGCTACTGCTGCTGCCGCTGCCGCCGCCGCCGCCGCCGCCGCTGCTGCTGCTGCTACCGTTGTTACTACTATCGCTGTGTGTGCCACACCGCTGAGAAAGAGAGCGACAGATGCCGGGAGAAAGAAAGAACGGGTGGCAACGGGGAGACGGAGACGCGCGGCATTGCCGTACGAATGGGAAAGAGAGACGGCGAAGAAGGAGAAGGAGAAGATACGAGAGCGAAGGATAATAAGAGGGAACGAGAGACGTGGATGTAAAGGGTGAGAAGGGAGGAGGCAGAGGCTACGCTAGAGGGTAGGCGAAGCCACCTAGCTATCCTATGGCACCTATACACGCGCTACCGGGGACACCAACGTCTAACGTCGTTATAAACATTAACGGAGCGGCTCAATATTCCCCGGACCTTGCATCCCCTGCATCTACCTCAGGTCCATCTCCCTTCTAGACCAACCTCCACCTCTTCGCTATCTCGGACGTTCGTCCGTGGCTATCTCGGACCCTTCGATTCGCCTACCTACCTTCGCTCTTTTAATTATGCACACTTTCTATCTATTTATCTATCTATCGGTCACGTGGCATCGATCGCGTACATTTCGCTGCAAGGGAACTAGAAGAAGTAAAAAGAAACTGTTTCTTTTCCTAGTCGCGAGGGTTATATCGCCAGCTATATGAAATTTCAGCCGGCAAAGGTCGGTAGAAAGGGGTGGAACGGTGAAATCGGAGGGTTCGATTATCGTTAATTGTGGTTGATTTCGATCGGATTAACGGCACACCGATCCAAGTATAGGCACCGCGGACGTCCCGAGGATCGACGCGACATGACGCGATATGACCGCGATGATCACGGGTAGACGTCGCGGCAAAAACCGCGCTCTATTTCAAACGCTGGCCGTTCTTCTTCGTTCGAGGTCGTACGGATTCGGTGTGCACGCGGCACGTGTAATTTAGCCTCGCGTGGCATCGCAACAGAGGGAATTCGTCTAGTTCGTGCGTTCAACAAGTATCCGTCCCTCCTCTTCCTTCGGTCGCTCTCCTTCCACCTCGTGTCTGCAGTTAGATCGCAAAGTGGCCTCGCCGCGTTCTTTGGCCGAGCCAGGTTTTAACCACCAGCCTAGTTTTCGCGTAACGAGAATCGAACGAAAACCGCTTCCTTGGTAGCAGGTGCGCCTGTACTTTTTCCCATGGCACGATGGGTAATAAGGGATTAGTCATCGGTGATCGTCGATCAACGTTAACGCGGCGGCAGCCATCGGTTGCTTCCAAGTCTCCCCGCGATATGTCAAAGTTGGATATTATATTGACGTATCGACGTCTCGATGCTGTCCACGACCGCTAGCCAATTAACGGGCTTTCTTGTTTTTCCGGCGAACACTCGTAAATCTCGACGGATCTGTCCACTCGATTTACTTCTCCTCTCCAGCCTGCCTCCTTTCGCGCATCTTTCTTTCGGCCCCGTATACTACACACATACATACCTACATATGTATATACGCCTCTTCTCCCAACGACGATGTACAATTAATATCGTTGTTCCAAAAGATTGGCCCTGCTCTGCAAATATTTAATATGCCACGGCCATCCTAAGCTTAATTGGGACGCGTTTGCTTTGCTCCGTTTGCCTTTGCTTGTTCTCTCGTGGCAAACGATTGCGTGACACGTTGCTGTTCTACGATATCAAAGAGCTTTCGCGATATTACCTAGCCTAAACGGTAAAGAAAGGGGAAGGAAAGAAAATTCGATCGGTCGGAGATTTTCGGACAACTGGGAATACCGAGTACATAATTAGAGTGAATTTCTTTCGCGCTCTCGTAATTCCAGCACAGGAACGTAATCGCTCGCTGTTCTCCCACGAGTTTTCGGAACGAGTCTTTTTTTCTTTTTTTTCAAAAGACCTCCCCTCCTATAATTTCGCTAGAGTTTCGCTATCTGGTTGCAAATCGAATTTTAGTCACGTCAAAAGTAAACGATCCGCCTAGATCCGCGCGTTAAGCGATCGGGTCGCGAGGAGCGTGTTTCGAGCCGGATGGAAATCTCATTTGGTAGTTTTCTCCGTTTAATAAGACGAGAGGGAGACGGGAGCCGGGAGACGGGCGATGGAAGAGAGAGAGGGTATAGGGAGACGGAGCCACGAGGTCGCTGCCGGTTCGCAGACTTGGGAAAGGGGAAACGGAAAGGGCGCAACAAGGCCGCCGGGGGGCAGAGGTAGCGGAGGGCGTACGGTACGGCAGGAGGAGTAGTAGGGTGTGGGTGGTAGGTGGCGAGGGGGATGGTTGGAAGTAAGCAGGGGTGGGTAACGGGCTGGGGAGGACGGCGGAGGGCGGCGGAGGGCGACGGAGGGCGGCGGAGGGTCGGCCAGGACTGGGAGGCGAAGTGTCGTCGTCCGAATAACGGCCAAGCGGCATCGACCGATCTTCCTACCCCTAGCTCGTACGAAGCGTCAACTTGTTTCCCTTCTGTTCCGCGAATATCGGACCTTCAATTTGCCCGGTGCGGTTCGCTTACGCGATGCACTGCCCTTTGGACGCTTTGCGTAATCCGTACGCGGTCCGTCACTGCTTCCACCGATATCCCCTTCCCGTTCGTCTTACTTTTCGCAAAAGTTTGTTCGCGGCCAGCCGTCCAAAGTTTCGCCGCTAGCAACCATGAGGTTCTCCTTCACGTTCGGCGCGTCGAGCGTTCACTTTTCCTCCTTCTTCGTTCCTCCTTACCGATCCTCGCCTGCGGATTAACACGAATCAATCGAGCCTGCCGCGATGGATGATTTCAGATCGGGGTTCCCATTAATCGTATCCCTATAATCGATGGAAAGTTACGAGGACGACGACGACACTCATTTCTGCATCAAATGTCACCTGACGGTACACGGCCTCGAGAATTACGTGCGACACCGCCAATCCGGATGTCGGCCACCGGACGACAAGAACGTGTCCGTACGGGTGTCACCGACGACACCCACTACCGTCACCTATCCCGAAATACTGAACGCGGACGCGTTCTTCAGCTCGCTGGAGCTGCAGAGCAGTTCAAAGTCGAATCCTCGAAGGGCGAACGCTTTGCTGGAGGAGAGTCGAAAGTTGAAGAAGGAGGAGAAAAGGAAGAAGAGTCAGAAAGCGCAGGTGGACGCGGAAGAGTCGACGGTAAAGGAGAAGCTGCACAGCATGCTGCCCGGTGTTTCGGAACTGGACGATCCAACGGAGCATCTCTGCATGCCATCGCTGGTTGGCTTTCCCGATATCGTTTCTTCCACGGCCAATAAGCCTGCTACGGTTACCGGCAGTCGGAACAAATTAAGCCAATCGATGGCTCATGTGACGGCGAGTATCGAGAGCAGCTCGTTCTCGGCGAAGCACGAACCGGAAAATTCTTTGGAGAGTCTGATGACGTCCCACGTTGAATCGAAACAGACGGATAGAAAGAGGCAGGAGGAGACGCAGAGGATCGAGCAGGTTCATCAAACGTGGCTCGAGGACACGATACTCGCCGAGCTGGTGGCGAACAACGAGAACAAGGACTTAACCAGATACGAGTTCGAATACCAACAGGACGAGGACTCGGAGGAGGATACATTGGAGGAAGATTTGGGGGAGGACGACTCTTACTCCGAGTCCGACGACGGGGAGGATCGAGAACGTCCACCGCACGGTCACACCGGTGGCAAATGGAAACCCGGATTGGACGATCTCCCTCAAAATATGTCTCAACTTCAGGACGACGACGTCGAACCCGAAGACGAACATCAAGAGCATCCGCCACCGACTTATACCGGTGGCAAATGGCGACCCTCCGAACCCTCCCAGGTAGGTAATCGTGAAAATTCCTTTAACGTCGCCTTCCCTCTCTCTCCTCCCTCCCCTTTCTCTCTGTTTCCCGAACGTTTCGTAGAAGCTGGAGGAGTACGAGGCGAAAAGCAACGTCGGCGGACAGCCACCGCCAGGACACACACGTGGGAAATGGGTACCGGGCTCGCAAACGGATGTCGAATCGGGATATTGGTGTAGTCCTTGTGGCAGGAAACTTGCATCTCGATTGGTCTACAACAGGCATCTTCTGTCTGATCTGCACGCCAGAAGAAGCACCCGAGAGATCGAGGGCGTTCTTTGTTTGCCGCGTGCCGCGAATTTGCACTCGGGGAAAAAGTTGTCGACTCGCAATCAGGTAAATGCTCCTCTCATCGTCGATGGAGGAACGGTACGATGGTACGTATAGACGATAATCGAGGTGAAGTAAACGGATCGATCGGATCGACAGAGAAGGAAAGATGCGGCGGAAACGAAGGAGGCTAAGAAAAGTTCACGCAAACGGGAGAAGGAGATATTTTGCTGCGAGATGTGCCACGCTCGAGTGAGAAGGGCACAAATGGGCAAGCATTTGCTCTCTCATTATCACTGCCGCGTCGCGGGCGTATATCCTCGTGGGCCACGGGCGCGTCGGTTTTTACTGGAAAATATGGCGAATGTGGTACGGCAGTGTCCCTTTCAGTGCTCCTCTTGCCGCTTTTATTGCAACACGGAGGAAACGTTTCTGCATCATTGGCGCTCCGAGCTTCACGCGAAAACGCTCGAGCAGGTACATTCCGGTTTCTCGATTTACGCGCATCTCCACTTGGTATTATCTCAGACTGGTACTGTCGATTCCCGTTTTCAGAACGCAGGCAGCTATAAATGCACACCCTGCGACTTTTGGTGCGAGAACAACGAGACGATGGGCTCTCACCTGCTGAGCACCAGTCATCGCGAGGTCGTTTCGATGATGAACGGTTCCGTACCGATCGTGATCGGTCGTCAACGAGCTTTACCCTGCGACAGCTGCGATCGACGATTTCGATATAATTTACAGCTTCGGTTACACGTGAAGGAAACCGGCCACGCGGAGAGTGTGACAGCGACGGACGCGTATCAGCAACGAATCAAATGTAATTTGTGCCCGCAAATGGTCAGATCGTTGGTGGCCCTTCAGCGTCATCAGTTGACTTGTCACGCTGCGAACAACGAGGAAAGGAACGACGAGATAAACGTGTCGTCTCAGCCGGCCCCCTACTTCTGTTCGTTTTGTTCGATGAACTTTTCGACGGCCCAGGAGGCGGTGCTACATCGGCGTACCTCGAGCCACAAGGAAATCGTGAGGGCTCGTAAGTGTAACGAGAACTCGTCGACAACAATGGCTCGCGAGTGTCCGCATTGCGAGAAAAAACAGAGGAATTTGTCGGAGCACAAGAAACATCTGCTCGACAGGCATCCAGAGGTTTGCCATAGGTGAGGAGAGGGGAAAGAATTGTTGGAGTCGCGGTCCGGGTAGCGCGCGATCGAGGTTAACGAATGTTTAAAAATCCGCAGATGCCCCAAGTGTGGAATAGTTTTTGCCCTGTCGCAAGACGTGACGAGGCATACGAGGGAGAATAAGTGTCGGGGTGAGGGGGGCGGAGAGGAGGATAACAGCAAGTCGAACGACGCGGAGGCAACGGTGAAAGACGAATGGAAATGTACTAGGTGTAGTTTCGCTTCGGACTCCCAGGCGGAATGTATGTTTCACGAGGCTCTTCACGCCGGGAGCGTGGCGCAGAACGACGAGGACGGTACGAATTGCGGCAAATCGTTGCCGAAGTACGGCTGTCCGGTATGTAAGAAGGCGTTCACGAAGGTCTCGTTGCGGAATCATATCAGAAGTCACACCGGAGAACGTCCGTTTCCGTGTGCCAAGTGTCTGGCGTCGTTTTCGAGGAGATCGGACTTAAGCGGGCATCAAAAGGAGTGCAGGGGATCGGCGTCGACGGGATGGCCGGAGGAATCTGGACGGAAACGCAGCTTCGCCTGTTCCGAGTGCAGCAACGCTTTCTACACAAAGTGAGTTGTTTATCGCTCTATATACGTGTACTTATCGCGTCTCCGAAGTCGCTATCGCCGCGGTTCGAAGAAGCTGTCTCTGTTTCGGGCAAAATTATCGAGCGATTAATAATTCTAAACCTGGTTATAATATCCTGGTGAAAACGGCGCGTAAAAGTAATTGCTCGGGCACGTTCTTCGTGTATGAAACCTCTCGATGGTTCGCATGACGTATAGGAAACGTTGTACGTCGTGACAACAATAGGTTTAGCGGTAGAAAACTTGCCGCATTATCCGGTTAACAAAAGGATCGCATTTATCAGAGGATTTCCAGTTAGGTACAATTATATTGGATCGATCGTAGATCGGTAGAGTCGTCGAGCGAACCGTGACCGCGTTCGACGCGAACGTGCAGATCTTTTCGTGGCTCGGTACTCCTTTCACCGGGCTATTTATCTTAACTCGAGTTACCTTTGCCAGTGCGTGAACATCGATGTACGGTTGATCGATGGTAAATATCGCGGAGACTACGCCCCAAAAGTGGGCATCGAGGGTAACCTGAATCGAAATACGGAAGGCTGTTTTCTTCATCTACGTGTCGCCGCTGCGTAGTCGCGTTCTGAGACCGCGAAACGTTGCCGAGCTGGTAGTAAAAGTGTCCTCGCTGCATAACTATAAAATAAAGGACCGTGTCCGTTCGTACGAGTGTCGTGCGAAGAAAGTGCGGAGACGAAACGGGGAAACTGGAGCGAGAGAGGGAGGAGGAAGTGGTATTAACATCTCGTAGCGGTCTGTAAGCCCACGGGTCATTCTATAATAGTGTTTAACGGGCTTGCATTATGGCCCGTGCAAGTGCGCGTCGGTTATGCCGCGAGCTAATGCTCGGTGTGCTCTGTTAAAAATCCTATCGAATCGAACGATCGCGGAAGGATAAGGAATACGAGTGGAGGTAGGATACGTGGGTGCCCGCAACTGGGCGCCGCGGCGCGTCGCGCGTCGCGCGTCGTCCAGCCGAGTATCAAACCATTGCCCGAGCGTAGAGCGATCGCTATAAAGCAAATGTTAACACCTATGCTCGCTTGTTCGCCCGGCTCGATTTCCTCGTCCCTTTTCCGCTCCCTCCTTCGCCACTTGTGCTACCCGTCTCGGACACGCGTTACCTACATATATACCTTCTGTAAGCTGAGTCTCTCTCCGCTCTAAACGGCAGGGGTGTCCATTCGACTGCCCCTTGCGATCTTTTCGATACACGGGCGATCGAGTTTTCGACGTTGGCTGACACGATTCAGAGTTTTCGAGCAAAGGTAGCCGTACGTTAGTCGAAGATTAACCGATTCTACTCGTCTATCTCGAAACTTTCTCAACGTATCGGTGGTGCCTGGAACTGCGCGTCATCTTTCGACCGCAGGTAGTTAAAACTTCCGGCGGGCCAGCTTGATTAGGACTTTCTCCGGGTTGATTTTCGTGGAAGACGGAGGAAGCAGAGGCGGGCGACGCTCGCGCGTCAGTTGTCGGCAATGTCGGATCGAAACTCTGTCCCGTTTCGCCGGGCAAACGGGGACAATCTAGCAAGAAGCGTTTCTACAAAGTTTCGTAGCTTCTCGGAAAGCAACAAACTATTATCATCGATTATACCGAGCTGGCTATAGGTATACGTACGATTCCGCTCAGCCTCAATTTCTAGAGTTGGTCGTTCGTTTCGATTCTGGAGGTGGGGGCCGCGTTTCGTTATGGGCAGCGGAGAAAATTGCAAAAGATCGGAGGAAAACGTGACACCGGCAAGGACCGGTATGTAAGTGAAATAGACGCAGGTAAAGGATAGACAGGAGAGAAGGAAGAGGAGAAAAGAGATAATTACAAGAAGACAGGCAGCTCCCGCGTATTCGATCGCCTAACCAATTCTGAGAATAAGCGGGCAATTCTCGATGTATGCGCATATTCAAGATAGTATGTTACATACGCGAGCTACTGACCGTACGTTTCGTTCGTTCCACCCTCGGGCCCTCCGCCCCTCTAACCGCGCGCGCGGCCTCTTCTCCTCGTCGTGCTCCGGTCAGTCCTTTCCAGCGTTCTACCCACCGGCAACCCTCTCGTTTCTGCCTGACGATGTGTACGCCAGTTCCCCAGAGGTATTTACATATATGGACCGCGGCGTGGCGCGCGCGTATCTTTTATCTTCCGTAGCAGTAATGGCGCGTCCACCTCCTTCGTAGCGCTGGTCAGGTAAACGCCGTAAAGATAGGCATACTGGGTGAGATTGGCGTAACCTCGCCGCACGTTGACGTTCCGCCGCATCACGCTCTCTGCTCTTTTCTCTTTCGAGAATCTCTTTTCCTTTCGTTTCGCCCTATTCCCTCCGGCGCGGCCGTTAGGTATTAGGCACACACGGTCGATCGAAAAATTGGCTGCGTAGAAAAGGGGCGAGTTGCCGGATTCGAGATAGGGGATCGGTTGGTTAATTCGAACGCGAGGCATGTTCCGATTGAAGCGGTACATAAATCTCTGGTCATCGTAAATTTCGAGGTTCGGGGAGAGAGAGACCATTGTCTCCACGGTGTGTGTATCGTTTTCTCTCACCTCGATCGGCGCTGCTAATGAGGCACGGTGTCGTCTTTACGGATCACCCCATAGGCACCCTTAAAACATCCTGCCGGCGAATCCCGCGGGAGATTGTCCGCGCTACCGAGAGCAAAACGGCCTCTGGCTCGAGCAGCAACAGCACCAGCAGGCCGCGAGAGAAAAGAAAGATTTCTGCATGCCCCCCGAGGAACAATGCGACGCTGTTGCACCGCATTCGTCGCATTGAAATGTATTAGTGAGGTGTCTCTGCCGTGCGCGCATTGTGTCGGAAGAACGCGGCTGTGTACGAACGTATGTACGTCAGCATGGGTTTTCTTGGTTGTATGTGGCGGCAATGGTGGTCGGTAGCGATGGTACGTAGCGGTGTGGTATGGTTTGGTATGGTATGGTATGGTATGGTGGCACGCGGTAAGCACGGCCCCCGTATGCAGACAGTTTAGCGGTGACCGCCCCGCGAGTCCAGTTGTCGCGTGAAATATTGCGATTCATAAAATAAAACAGGCCTGCGGTCGAGGACGCGCAGATATAGCCGCCGGCCGCTAACCCAGACCTAACCCACCTCTCTCTTTTCGAAAGACCGCATCCCCCGACTTCCATCCACCGCTCTTTCTTCTCTTCTCTTCTTTCGATTTCTAACGTCTGTCCATCGTGTCCTCGACTCTTTCGCCCCCTCTCCGTTGTCTTTGAAAAACGCGGTCGCGAGCTTGCGCGAACGACTGTACCGTGGCCAAACCGCAGGTATCGCAACGATGTCTAGCGCGAGGTAAAATTTTTCGGCAT